TGTTCGCCCTTTGCTCATCCCTAGTCTCCTTCATACCGACCTCCTCCCCCCCTCCCCCCCCACCCCTGATTCTGTTTCGCACCCTACCCCTCCGCTACCCCATCCCCCCATCTCACCCCCTCATCCCGTGTTGATTCGATCAGCAATATTGGTTCAGCAAATATCACGGGGATTGTGGAGGGCCTTTCATGGATCTCAAGCCTCACCAACCTGAATGCACTGTACGGCTTGCATGCACAATTTGACATGGCTTGGGAGTGTGGTGTTGATCCGGGCGAAATGGTTCGAGCCCAGCTTGGGCTCATTCAAGGCAAATAAAACGGTCTGGTTCTGCTCATGTTCAATGAGCGGAGTGACCCTGTTAGAAACCCTAATTGCTCTCTGAAGTGTATCCTCCTTGTTGATGGTTCTCCCATGTTGCCCTCTTCGAATCTTGTCACACAAATTAAGACACCGCTCATGCTGCCCACCGTGGGCCCCCCACCCGCAGCACCACACCCACGGCACCACACTAGGGTGATGGCGGGCATGAGCAGCATGGAGGGGGATCTATGGGGTGGAGGTCTCTCATGAGAGTGGAGTTTTTCTGTTGCTCGGTGCCCTGTGTTCCCCCCCATGGACCCCGGTCCCCCTCCCGCGATACCACACCAGGGTGATGGCGGGCGTGAGCAGCATGGAAGGGGACCTATCGGCCCTCACGTTTCTCACTTCTCTTAAAGCCTTGCAAAGCCTGTAACGTGGTTTAAAAGGGTATTGTAGGCCTCCCGTTCCTGTGGGCTGTCCGCTCCCTGCAGTTTTGTCCACCGTCCTTCCCGCTCTTTGATTTGTGGGTGTATTTACGCTTTGCAACAAAACATATTTATGCATGTTTTGGAGAAGCATTGTACGAAGGGAATGGATTGGGCAATGATTGCAAAATTTGCTGGTGCATGGTGGCAAGAACCGCTCACGCTTCAGATAGGTGACGCGCGCCCTGCTGTGGGAGGCGACCTACTAGAGCCAATTTATTTTATTTTGCGTTTTGTAAAGGATAAATCTGACTTTTTGTTTGAAATGGAGCGTTTAATAAGGTAGATAAACAGACTTGGAGGTATTAACATACCGTGATTTTGGGTCGACAGAAATTTGTGGACCCACCCAAAAATGTGGAGGTTGGCGTAACACTTGGAACCGGATCGGGCCTAACAGATTTGTTTAGTAATCCAATTTGGCCGGTCAAACACTACCCGATCAAAGAAGTCCCTTTCGAATATAGTGCTGACCTGACCCGGTCGAGTAAATCCGACCCAATCCGTTCGGTCAGCAGGATCAGCTAGGCATACCCAACCCGGCCAAAAGTTGGTCAGGTCGGGTCGCGTTGTGTCAGGTCGGGTCAGGTCGGGCCAGGTCGGGCCATGTGTTGTGCCCATGCGACAAAAAAAAGATTGGGCTGTTCAACATTGATTCTGACCGAGCTAAGCGGAGTGTTAATCATCAACGCACAATGGGCATTGAATTACACTTAGCGCGTTTAATCAAACTTAGCGCGTTGAATTAAACTTAGCGCGTTGTCTTGATCTGGTTTTGTTTTGAATTTTTTTGGATCGAACCAAACTGAGGTTCTGTACTATGCTCGTACGTCTATGCAGATGTTATTGTTATATGCCAAAACTCCCACAATATATATATATCAATATTTTTTAAGGTTATTTTTCACTTGCCTCCGCATGTGTGCATGTCATCGCGATTCATGTGCACGTCCTTGCCACGCATGAGCATGTCCTGCCGACCCATGTGCATATCCCTGTGCCTCTACTCTACAACCATCAACCATCACGTACCTCAGGGACGTGAGCTTCCTGGAAGAAACTACCGAGTTTCCCCGATGGGTGGTGGAATTGACAGCTCTGCGACACTTGTGAGTTTCTCTTCAGCAGCACCAAGCTTTTCCCTCACCTTGACCATCCTCGCCTCCTCTCCCTAGCCACCATACTGCTCAGCAGAGTTGACTAGGCGTTGCGAGCATTTAAGGAGACCCGTGATGGTCAGTGTACCTCACGAGGCAAAGGCAAGAAATCGGGTGATGTTATGCAAGGCCCCGCAGTCCCCCGACACGACCCGACCTGATTCGACAGTGCCTGCTTGCCTTGGTGGGTGGAGCAAAAATGTTTGGGTCAACCCCACTGCTCATGTCTAGTCAGAATGCATATATCTTGCCTAAAAATTGTGCGACGATGATTTGGGTACTAACTTGATGGAATGGCGAGGCTGTTAGAAATTGATAACTAGAAGAATGGCACGGGAAATTTTACAGCCAGCAAGGATGTGGCACCAGAGAGAATCAGCGCCACATGATGGAAGTCGAGAGGCAACGCTAGGGAGTGCAGTTTTAGTTTCCGTGAGTTGACGTAGATAATGATCCATGTGGATGTTGCTTCCCTCTAATCGCATGTGAGAACTTGGGGTAGAATCTATACATCGGGTAATGTGCTCAAGCCTCTTAAGTACATCAGTAGGCAATAAAAGATAGGGAGGGAATTAGGAGCAATGGGATTGGCAGAAATCTTCAATTTGTGGGTTGGGGATTCGGTTGATCACATTTGGGTAAGGTTCAGTTGTTGGTATAAGACCCGACCCACAAAAGGTACAATATACTAGGATATGAATTAGATAAGAAGGCTAATTCAACCGTGTTTTCCCAACCCAACCACCTCAAATCGAGTCGAAATCACCTATGTGCACGGACGATAAGATAAAGCTAGAGGCCCAAATAGCTCAACCTTTCTAAGTTTGACTTCTGGGTGGCGAGAGAGGAAAGCTGGAGTAAGAAGGTTGAGGAGTTGGTTGGAGTTGGCTCTTATGTTTTGCTTCGCGCGACACCCTCTGGATTTTCGACTCAGCAAACCCCAGGGTTGATCTTGTGTTTAATTCGAGAGTCCCATATTGCACACACAATATCATTGATGTGCTCTCCAATTCGACAATCACAATGCTGGCTAGTCATTACGCTTCGCGCTTCTCGTAAGCACTTTTCGCAAAATAAGCACTTCCATGAAGATTAGTAAGGTTGCTCCGAGCTCTACGCAAGTTGGGCCTTGAGCTTTAAGTTGGCTGGTCGGACAACCCAATTCGCAATTGCGTTGTCCCAACCCGCCCCCAGGTCACAGATGACCCGACCCGACCATATAAGCCCTGATCCAGTCGAATTTTCCGCGTCTTGACCCAATTTGTGGCCAATTTGACCCGCACCTGTACCCTGCCCCAGGTCTCCCGCGGTCGGGATGGGTCGACCCGTTGCTCATGCCTACCTCTATCCCCATGTGCTCCATCCTTCCAACCCCCTATGTGCTCTATCCCTCCACCGCCATATGCTCCTCTCCATCCCCCTGCCAGTGACAATGCGCGCTTCAACATTGCTGCTACGTAGTGCTCTGATGTGGTGCCTTTTGAGAATTCTCAAAAGTCTCTCATGTGGTGCCTCAAGAGCTCCACCGCCTCTCGCACCTGCAGCACTTGTGAGTTCCCCGTTCCATATTTTTGCCTTCGTTGTCAAGGATTTCTCATCATCCATATGTCGCAAAAGCTTAATATCTTCGGGATTCCGGCTTCGCGTTGTGAGCGTCGCTTTTTGTGCTCATTGCTCCAATTTGACTCCTAAGTCATCTCGATCACTCTCCTTGTTGCTGACCTGTTGCTCCCCATGTCCTCCTTCAATGTAATAGTTTTTTATGTCCCACCAAGGAATAAGAATCTCCAGACTGTTAAAAAACTCACTTGAAGTAATTTAAGTATCCTGCTATTCTGTTCAACAAAGCACAACAGCACTACGAACACAATGCACACAGATTTTGTCTAGGCGTTTGGGTTGGGATGAGGAGGGGGGGGGGCGGGAGGGGGAGAGGGGGGGCGGGGGGGGGGGGACGGGGAGGGAAGAGGGAGAGGAAGAGGGAGAGGAAGAGGGAGAGAGACAATGAGCTTGACTTGAAACAAGCTATGAAATTTCTCTGTCAACCTGGAATCTAATCTGTGAGACCCGATTTGCACGAGTAGGTCTTTATATCTTTGTAGGTTCGACAATAATGTTCTGGATAAGTCAACATGTTCGATTCGAATCGAACGTTTGAATAGTCAAACAGGTGTTGTTAGATGCAACCCAACAAAAACTGCAAAAACAAAATGTTCGACCCGAACCTCTAGTATGTTTGATGAGTGGAGCTGTTTTTGGACAAAAGAAGTGTCAAACAAATCCGAGTCAAATTGAACTGGTGTTCGATAATCTGCTCATGGTCAATCCGACAACAACCCCAAAACTGGTCCTCCAAGTGTTTTCGGTCACCAGATACTGACACAAGTAATCTACAGACTACAAGTAATTAGACGCTCTGAATCTTCTGCATCACAGCTCTTGAGGTTTGACATAAACTGCATATGCATTGAGCCGGTTCGCTTTGAGCCTCAGAAATATTAGTCAAACAAAACCGAATGGTTTGACTGGAATGGAACTGCAATCGGTCGAGTCAAACTATATTCCAACAAAAAAGTCATCAAACTGGCATGACTCGAAGAGGGTTGACTTGAACCACACCGAGGTTCAAATCTATTTGGAATCGCATTGAACTGCTTTAGGTGGTTGGATTGAACTTCAACCAATTTGTGTCAAACCGGCTGCAAATTCGGCAGTTTTGTTTTCGACCAGAGTAATGGTACTGCTGCTGTTTTGACCCGATCTGCACCATGATCAATGACTGTGAAGGTAAGCAATTGTTCGTTTCCTCACATAAAAACAGTGTGAATCACCCGTGGTTGGAGCAATGTTATGGAGAACGCTGAATCCCACCGTGGTAATTGGCTAGAAGGGATAAGGAATGAGAGAATAAGACAAGGAATTTGGAGTGTGGAAATGAGCTCCGATGCTCCAGCGTGTGGAATTAACTCGAGCAACTCAAGTTGCATGCCGCATGAGAAAGATTCAAATCTGATGAAAAGTCCAAATCAATCACAGTCGACACGAGGTGCTCATCATGAGCGGATCGTGTGCTTGTTATGGTTTGAATGTCATGGGCATGGCACTTTCCACGACCATGGCAGTTGTCCTCTGTATCAACTGTCACTCACTGGCATGGTATGGCAGTGATGTGAGAGGCAACAATTTAGTTGGAGCTCTTCCTGAGTACTGGGCCTCGCTCAACCACCTACTCGCTCAACCACCTACTCGCTCAACCACCTACTCGCTCAACCACCTACTCGCTCAACCACCTACTCGCTCAACCACCTACTCGCTCAACCACCTACTCGCTCAACCACCTACTCGCTCAACCACCTACTCGCTCAACCACCTACTCGCTCAACCACCTACTCGCTCAACCACCTACTCGCTCAACCACCTACTCGCTCAACCACCTACTCGCTCAACCACCTACTCGCTCAACCACCTACTCGCTCAACCACCTACTCGCTCAACTACCTACTCGCTCAACTACCTACTCGCTCAACCACCTACTCGCTCAACCACCTACTCGCTCAACCACCTACTCGCTCAACCACCTACTCGCTCAACCACCTACTCGCTCAACCACCTACTCGCTCAACCACCTACTCGCTCAACCACCTACTCGCTCAACCACCTACTCGCTCAACCACCTACTCGCTCAACCACCTACTCGCTCAACCACCTACTCGCTCAACTACCTACTCGCTCAACCACCTACTCGCTCAACCACCTACTCGCTCAACCACCTACTCGCTCAACCACCTACTCGCTCAACCACCTACTCGCTCAACCACCTACTCGCTCAACCACCTACTCGCTCAACCACCCTACTCGCTCAACCACCTACTCGCTCAACCACCTACTCGCTCAAACCACCTACTCGCTCAACCACCTACTCGCTCAACCACCTACTCGCTCAACCACCTACTCGCTCAACCACCTACTCGCTCAACCACCTACTCGCTCAACCACCTACTCGCTCAACCACCTACTCGCTCAACCACCTACTCGCTCAACCACCTACTCGCTCAACTACCTACTCGCTCAACCACCTACTCGCTCAACTACCTACTCGCTCAACCACCTACTCGCTCAACCACCTACTCGCTCAACCACCTACTCGCTCAACCACCTACTCGCTCAACCACCTACTCGCTCAACCACCTACTCGCTCAACCACCTACTCGCTCAACCACCTACTCGCTCAACCACCTACTCGCTCAACCACCTACTCGCTCAACCACCTACTCGCTCAACTACCTACTCGCTCAACCACCTACTCGCTCAACCACCTACTCGCTCAACCACCTACTCGCTCAACCACCTACTCGCTCAACCACCTACTCGCTCAACCACCTACTCGCTCAACCACCTACTCGCTCAACCACCTACTCGCTCAACCACCTACTCGCTCAACCACCTACTCGCTCAACCACCTACTCGCTCAACCACCTACTCGCTCAACCACCTACTCGCTCAACCACCTACTCGCTCAACCACCTACTCGCTCAACCACCTACTCGCTCAACCACCTACTCGCTCAACTACCTACTCGCTCAACCACCTACTCGCTCAACCACCTACTCGCTCAACCACCTACTCGCTCAACCACCTACTCGCTCAACCACCTACTCGCTCAACCACCTACTCGCTCAACCACCTACTCGCTCAACCACCTACTCGCTCAACCACCTACTCGCTCAACCACCTACTCGCTCAACCACCTACTCGCTCAACCACCTACTCGCTCAACCACCTACTCGCTCAACCACCTACTCGCTCAACCACCTACTCGCTCAACCACCTACTCGCTCAACCACCTACTCGCTCAACCACCTACTCGCTCAACCACCTACTCGCTCAACCACCTACTCGCTCAACCACCTACTCGCTCAACACCTACTCGCTCAACCACCTACTCGCTCAACCACCTACTCGCTCAACCACCTACTCGCTCAACCACCTACTCGCTCAACCACCTACTCGCTCAACCACCTACTCGCTCAACCACCTACTCGCTCAACCACCTACTCGCTCAACCACCTACTCGCTCAACCACCTACTCGCTCAACCACCTACTCGCTCAACCACCTACTCGCTCAACCACCTACTCGCTCAACCACCTACTCGCTCAACCACCTACTCGCTCAACCACCTACTCGCTCAACCACCTACTCGCTCAACCACCTACTCGCTCAACCACCTACTCGCTCAACCACCTACTCGCTCAACCACCTACTCGCTCAACCACCTACTCGCTCAACCACCTACTCGCTCAACCACCTACTCGCTCAACCACCTACTCGCTCAACCACCTACTCGCTCAACACCTACTCGCTCAACCTACCTACTCGCTCAACCACCTACTCGCTCAACCACCTACTCGCTCAACCACCTACTCGCTCAACCACCTACTCGCTCAACCACCTACTCGCTCAACCACCTACTCGCTCAACACCTACTCGCTCAACCACCTACTCGCTCAACCACCTACTCGCTCAACCACCTACTCGCTCAACCACCTACTCGCTCAACCACCTACTCGCTCAACCACCTACTCGCTCAACCACCTACTCGCTCAACCACCTACTCGCTCAACCACCTACTCGCTCAACCACCTACTCGCTCAACCACCTACTCGCTCAACCACCTACTCGCTCAACCACCTACTCGCTCAACCACCTACTCGCTCAACCACCTACTCGCTCAACCACCTACTCGCTCAACCACCTACTCGCTCAACCACCTACTCGCTCAACCACCTACTCGCTCAACCACCTACTCGCTCAACCACCTACTCGCTCAACCACCTACTCGCTCAACCACCTACTCGCTCAACCACCTACTCGCTCAACCACCTACTCGCTCAACCACCTACTCGCTCAACCACCTACTCGCTCAACCACCTACTCGCTCAACCACCTACTCGCTCAACCACCTACTCGCTCAACTACCTACCGCTCAGCTACCTACTCGCTCAACTACCTACTCGCTCAAACTACCTACTACGCTCAAACTACCTACTCGCTCAACTACCTACTCGCTTCAACTACCTACTCGCTCAACTACCTACTCGCTCAACTACCTACTCGCTCAACTACCTACTCGCTCAACTACCTACTCGCTCAACTACCTACTAGCTCAACTACCTACTTCGCTCAACCTACCTACTCGCTCAACTACCTACTCGCTCAACCTACCTACTCGCTCAACCACCTACTCGCTCAACCACCTACTCGCTCAACCACCTACTCGCTCAACCACCTACTCGCTCAACCACCTACTCGCTCAACCACCTACTCGCTCAACCACCTACTCGCTCAACCACCTACTCGCTCAACCACCTTCTCGCTCAACCACCTACTCGCTCAACCACCTACTCGCTCAACCACCTACTCGCTCAACCACCTACTCGCTCAACCACCTACTCGCTCAACTACCTACTCGCTCAACCACCTACTCGCTCAACTACCTACTCGCTCAACTACCTACTCGCTCAACTACCTACTCGCTCAACTACCTACTCGCTCAACTACCTACTCGCTCAACTACCTACTCGCTCAACTACCTACTCGCTCAACTACCTACTCGCTCAACTACCTACTCGCTCAACCACCTACTCGCTCAACCACCTACTCGCTCAACCACCTACTCGCTCAACCACCTACTCGCTCAACCACCTACTCGCTCAACCACCTACTCGCTCAACCACCTACTCGCTCAACCGCTCAACCACCTACTCGCTCAACCACCTACTCGCTCAACCACCTACTCGCTCAACCACCTACTCGCTCAACCACCTACTCGCTCAACCACCTACTCGCTCAACCTACCTACTCGCTCAACTACCTACTCGCTCAACTACCTACTCGCTCAACTACCTACTCGCTCAACTCCTACTCGCTCAACTACCTACTCGCTCAACTACCTACTCGCTCAACTACCTACTCGCTCAACTACCTACTCGCTCAACTACCTACTCGCTCAACTACCTACTCGCTCAACTACCTACTCGCTCAACCACCTACTCGCTCAACCACCTACTCGCTCAACCACCTACTCGCTCAACCACCTACTCGCTCAACCACCTACTCGCTCAACCACCTACTCGCTCAACCACCTACTCGCTCAAACACCTACTCGCTCAACCACCTACTCGCTCAACCACCTACTCGCTCAACCACCTACTCGCTCAACCACCTACTCGCTCAACTACCTACTCGCTCAACCACCTACTCGCTCAACTACCTACTCGCTCAACTACCTACTCGCTCAACTACCTACTCGCTCAACTACCTACTCGCTCAACTACCTACTCGCTCAACTACCTACTCGCTCAACTACCTACTCGCTCAACTACCTACTCGCTCAACTACCTACTCGCTCAACTACCTACTCGCTCAACTACCTACTCGCTCAACTACCTACTCGCTCAACTACCTACTCGCTCAACTACCTACTCGCTCAACTACCTACTCGCTCAACTACCTACTCGCTCAACCACCTACTCGCTCAACCACCTACTCGCTCAACCACCTACTCGCTCAACCACCTACTCGCTCAACCACCTACTCGCTCAACCACCTACTCGCTCAACCACCTACTCGCTCAACCACCTACTCGCTCAACCACCTACTCGCTCAACCACCTACTCGCTCAACCACCTACTCGCTCAACCACCTACTCGCTCAACTACCTACTCGCTCAACTACCTACTCGCTCAACTACCTACTCGCTCAACTACCTACTCGCTCAACTACCTACTCGCTCAACTACCTACTCGCTCAACCACCTACTCGCTCAACCACCTACTCGCTCAACCACCTACTCGCTCAACCACCTACTCGCTCAACCACCTACTCGCTCAACCACCTACTCGCTCAACCACCTACTCGCTCAACCACCTACTCGCTCAACCACCTACTCGCTCAACCACCTACTCGCTCAACTACCTACTCGCTCAACTACCTACTCGCTCAACTACCTACTCGCTCAACTACCTACTCGCTCAACTTCCTACTCGCTCAACTACCTACTCGCTCAACTACCTACTCGCTCAACTACCTACTCGCTCAACTACCTACTCGCTCAACTACCTACTCGCTCAACTACCTACTCGCTCAACCTACCTACTCGCTCAACCACCTACTCGCTCAACCACCTACTCGCTCAACCACCTACTCGCTCAACCACCTACTCGCTCAACCACCTACTCGCTCAACCACCTACTCGCTCAACCACCTACTCGCTCAAACACCTACTCGCTCAACCACCTACTCGCTCAACCACCTACTCGCTCAACCACCTACTCGCTCAACCACCTACTCGCTCAACTACCTACTCGCTCAACCACCTACTCGCTCAACTACTCGCTCAACTACCTACTCGCTCAACTACCTACTCGCTCAACTACCTACTCGCTCAACTACCTACTCGCTCAACTACCTACTCGCTCAACTACCTACTCGCTCAACTACCTACTCGCTCAACTACCTACTCGCTCAACTACCTACTCGCTCAACTACCTACTCGCTCAACTACCTACTCGCTCAACTACCTACTCGCTCAACTACCTACTCGCTCAACTACCTACTCGCTCAACTACCTACTCGCTCAACCACCTACTCGCTCAACCACCTACTCGCTCAACCACCTACTCGCTCAACCACCTACTCGCTCAACCACCTACTCGCTCAACCACCTACTCGCTCAACCACCTACTCGCTCAACCACCTACTCGCTCAACCACCTACTCGCTCAACCACCTACTCGCTCAACCACCTACTCGCTCAACCACCTACTCGCTCAACCACCTACTCGCTCAACCACCTACTCGCTCAACTACCTACTCGCTCAACTACCTACTCGCTCAACTACCTACTCGCTCAACTACCTACTCGCTCAACTACCTACTCGCTCAACTACCTACTCGCTCAACTACCTACTCGCTCAACTACCTACTCGCTCAACTGCCTACTCGCTCAACTGCCTACTCGCTCAACTACCTACTCGCTCAACCACCTACTCGCTCAACCACCTACTCGCTCAACCACCTACTCGCTCAACCACCTACTCGCTCAACCACCTACTCGCTCAACCACCTACTCGCTCAACCACCTACTCGCTCAACTACCTACTCGCTCAACTACCTACTCGCTCAACTACCTACTCGCTCAACTACCTACTCGCTCAACTACCTACTCGCTCAACTACCTACTCGCTCAACTACCTACTCGCTCAACTACCTACTCGCTCAACTACCTACTCGCTCAACCACCTACTCGCTCAACCACCTACTCGCTCAACCACCTACTCGCTCAACCACCTACTCGCTCAACCACCTACTCGCTCAACCACCTACTCGCTCAACCACCTACTCGCTCAACCACCTACTCGCTCAACCACCTACTCGCTCAACCACCTACTCGCTCAACCACCTACTCGCTCAACCACCTACTCGCTCAACCACCTACTCGCTCAACCACCTACTCGCTCAACCACCTACTCGCTCAACCACCTACTCGCTCAACCACCTACTCGCTCAACCACCTACTCGCTCAACCACCTACTCGCTCAACTACCTACTCGCTCAACTACCTACTCGCTCAACTACCTACTCGCTCAACTACCTACTCGCTCAACTACCTACTTGCTCAACTACCTACTCGCTCAACTACCTACTCGCTCAACTACCTACTCGCTCAACTACCTACTCGCTCAACCACCTACTCGCTCAACCACCTACTCGCTAAACCACCTACTCGCTCAACCACCTACTCGCTCAACCACCTACTTGCTCAACCACCTACTCGCTCAACCACCTACTCGCTCAACCACCTACTCGCTCAACCACCAACTCGCTCAACCACCTACTCGCTCAACCACCTACTCGCTCAACCACCTACTCGCTCAACCACCTACTCGCTCAACCACCTACTCGCTCAACCACCTACTCGCTCAACTACCTACTCGCTCAGCTACCTACTTGCTCAACTACCTACTCGCTCAACTACCTACACGCTCAACTACCTACTCGCTCAACTACCTACTCGCTCAACTACCTACTCGCTCAACTACCTACTCGCTCAACTACCTACTCGCTCAACTACCTACTCGCTCAACTACCTACTCGCTCAACTACCTACTAGCTCAACTACCTACTCGCTCAACTACCTACTCGCTCAACTACCTACTCGCTCAACTACCTACTTGCTCAACTACCTACTCGCTCAACTACCTACTCGCTCAACTACCTACTCGCTCAACTACCTACTCCCTCAACCACCTACTCGCTCAACCACCTACTCGCTCAACCACCTACTCGCTCAACCACCTACTCGCTCAACCACCTACTTGCTCAACCACCTACTCGCTCAACCACCTACTCGCTCAACCACCTACTCGCTCAACCACCTACTCGCTCAACCACCTACTCGCTCAACCACCTACTCGCTCAACCACCTACTCGCTCAACCACCTACTCGCTCAACCACCTACTCGCTCAACCACCTACTCGCTCAACTACCTACTCGCTCAGCTACCTACTTGCTCAACTACCTACTCGCTCAACTACCTACACGCTCAACTACCTACTCGCTCAACTACCTACTCGCTCAACTACCTACTCGCTCAACTACCTACTCGCTCAACTACCTACTCGCTCAACTACCTACTCGCTCAACTACCTACTCGCTCAACTACCTACTAGCTCAACTACCTACTCGCTCAACTACCTACTCGCTCAACTACCTACTCGCTCAACTACCTACTCGCTCAACCACCTACTCGCTCAACCACCTACTCGCTCAACTACCTACTCGCTCAACTACCTACTCGCTCAACTACCTACTCGCTCAACTACCTACTCGCTCAACTACCTACTCGCTCAACTACCTACTCGCTCAACTACCTACTCGCTCAACTACCTACTCGCTCAACTACCTACTCGCTCAACTACCTACTCGCTCAACTACCTACTCGCTCAACTACCTACTCGCTCAACTACCTACTCGCTCAACTACCTACTCGCTCAACTACCTACTCGCTCAACCACCTACTCGCTCAACCACCTACTCGCTCAACCACCTACTCGCTCAACCACCTACTCGCTCAACCACCTACTCGCTCAACCACCTACTCGCTCAACCACCTACTCGCTCAACCACCTACTCGCTCAACCACCTACTCGCTCAACCACCTACTCGCTCAACCACCTACTCGCTCAACCACCTACTCGCTCAACTACCTACTCGCTCAACTACCTACTCGCTCAACTACCTACTCGCTCAACTACCTACTCGCTCAACTACCTACTCGCTCAACTACCTACTCGCTCAACTACCTACTCGCTCAACCACCTACTCGCTCAACCACCTACTCGCTCAACCACCTACTCGCTCAACCACCTACTCGCTCAACCACCTACTCGCTCAACCACCTACTCGCTCAACCACCTACTCGCTCAACCACCTACTCGCTCAACCACCTACTCGCTCAACCACCTACTCGCTCAACTACCTACTCGCTCAACTACCTACTCGCTCAACTACCTACTCGCTCAACTACCTACTCGCTCAACTACCTACTCGCTCAACTACCTACTCGCTCAACTACCTACTCGCTCAACTACCTACTCGCTCAACCTACCTACTCGCTCAACCACCTACTCGCTCAACCACCTACTCGCTCAACCACCTACTCGCTCAACCACCTACTCGCTCAACCACCTACTCGCTCAACCACCTACTCGCTCAAACCACCTACTCGCTCAACCACCTACTCGCTCAACCACCTACTCGCTCAACCACCTACTCGCTCAACCACCTACTCGCTCAACCACCTACTCGCTCAACCACCTACTCGCTCAACTACCTACTCGCTCAACCTACCTACTCGCTCAACTACCTACTCGCTCAACTACCTACTCGCTCAACTACCTACTCGCTCAACTACCTACTCGCTCAACTACCTACTCGCTCAACTACCTACTCGCTCAACTACCTACTCGCTCAACTACCTACTCGCTCAACTACCTACTCGCTCAACTACCTACTCGCTCAACTACCTACTCGCTCAACTACCTACTCGCTCAACTACCTACTCGCTCAACTACCTACTCGCTCAACTACCTACTCGCTCAACTACCTACTCGCTCAACCACCTACTCGCTCAACCACCTACTCGCTCAACCACCTACTCGCTCAACCACCTACTCGCTCAACCACCTACTCGCTCAACCACCTACTCGCTCAACCACCTACTCGCTCAACCACCTACTCGCTCAACCACCTACTCGCTCAACCACCTACTCGCTCAACTACCTACTCGCTCAACTACCTACTCGCTCAACTACCTACTCGCTCAACTACCTACTCGCTCAACTACCTACTCGCTCAACTACCTACTCGCTCAACTACCTACTCGCTCAACTACCTACTCGCTCAACTACCTACTCGCTCAACTGCCTACTCGCTCAACTGCCTACTCGCTCAACTACCTACTCGCTCAACCACCTACTCGCTCAACCACCTACTCGCTCAACCACCTACTCGCTCAACCACCTACTCGCTCAACCACCTACTCGCTCAACCACCTACTCGCTCAACTACCTACTCGCTCAACTACCTACTCGCTCAACTACCTACTCGCTCAACTACCTACTCGCTCAACTACCTACTCGCTCAACTACCTACTCGCTCAACTACCTACTCGCTCAACTACCTACTCGCTCAACTACCTACTCGCTCAACTACCTACTCGCTCAACCACCTACTCGCTCAACCACCTACTCGCTCAACCACCTACTCGCTCAACCACCTACTCGCTCAACCACCTACTCGCTCAACCACCTACTCGCTCAACCACCTACTCGCTCAACCACCTACTCGCTCAACCACCTACTCGCTCAACCACCTACTCGCTCAACCACCTACTCGCTCAACCACCTACTCGCTCAACCACCTACTCGCTCAACCACCTACTCGCTCAACCACCTACTCGCTCAACCACCTACTCGCTCAACCACCTACTCGCTCAACTACCTACTCGCTCAACTACCTACTCGCTCAACTACCTACTCGCTCAACTACCTACTCGCTCAACTACCTACTCGCTCAACTACCTACTCGCTCAACTACCTACTCGCTCAACTACCTACTCGCTCAACTACCTACTCGCTCAACTACCTACTCGCTCAACCACCTACTCGCTCAACCACCTACTCGCTCAACCACCTACTCGCTCAACCACCTACTCGCTCAACCACCTACTTGCTCAACCACCTACTCGCTCAACCACCTACTCGCTCAACCACCTACTCGCTCAACCACCAACTCGCTCAACCACCTACTCGCTCAACCACCTACTCGCTCAACCACCTACTCGCTCAACCACCTACTCGCTCAACCACCTACTCGCTCAACCACCTACTCGCTCAACTACCTACTCGCTCAGCTACCTACTTGCTCAACTACCTACTCGCTCAACTACCTACACGCTCAACTACCTACTCGCTCAACTACCTACTCGCTCAACTACCTACTCGCTCAACTACCTACTCGCTCAACTACCTACTCGCTCAACTACCTACTCGCTCAACTACCTACTCGCTCAACTACCTACTAGCTCAACTACCTACTCGCTCAACTACCTACTCGCTCAACTACCTACTCGCTCAACTACCTACTTGCTCAACTACCTACTCGCTCAACTACCTACTCGCTCAACTACCTACTCGCTCAACTACCTACTCCCTCAACCACCTACTCGCTCAACCACCTACTCGCTCAACCACCTACTCGCTCAACCACCTACTCGCTCAACCACCTACTTGCTCAACCACCTACTCGCTCAACCACCTACTCGCTCAACCACCTACTCGCTCAACCACCTACTCGCTCAACCACCTACTCGCTCAACCACCTACTCGCTCAACCACCTACTCGCTCAACCACCTACTCGCTCAACCACCTACTCGCTCAACCACCTACTCGCTCAACTACCTACTCGCTCAGCTACCTACTTGCTCAACTACCTACTCGCTCAACTACCTACACGCTCAACTACCTACTCGCTCAACTACCTACTCGCTCAACTACCTACTCGCTCAACTACCTACTCGCTCAACTACCTACTCGCTCAACTACCTACTCGCTCAACTACCTACTCGCTCAACTACCTACTAGCTCAACTACCTACTCGCTCAACTACCTACTCGCTCAACTACCTACTCGCTCAACTACCTACTCGCTCAACCACCTACTCGCTCAACCACCTACTCGCTCAACCACCTACTCGCTCAATCACCTACTCGCTCAACCACCTACTCGCTCAACCACCTACTCGCTCAACCACCTACTCGCTCAACCACCTACTCGCTCAACCACCTACTCGCTCAACCACCTACTCGCTCAACCACCTACTCGCTCAACCACCTACTCGCTCAACTACCTACTCGCTCAACCACCTACTCGCTCAACTACCTACTCGCTCAACTACCTACTCGCTCAACTACCTACTCGCTCAACTACCTACTCGCTCAACTACCTACTCGCTCAACTACCTACTCGCTCAACTACCTACTCGCTCAACTACCTACTCGCTCAACTACCTACTCGCTCAACTACCTACTCGCTCAACCACCTACTCGCTCAACCACCTACTCGCTCAACCACCTACTCGCTCAACCACCTACTCGCTCAACCACCTACTCGCTCAACCACCTACTCGCTCAACCACCTACTCGCTCAACCACCTACTCGCTCAACCACCTACTCGCTCAACCACCTACTCGCTCAACCACCTACTCGCTCAACCACCTACTCGCTCAACCACCTACTCGCTCAACTACCTACTCGCTCAACTACCTACTCGCTCAACTACCTACTCGCTCAACTTCCTACTCGCTCAACTACCTACTCGCTCAACTACCTACTCGCTCAACTACCTACTCGCTCAACTACCTACTCGCTCAACTACCTACTCGCTCAACCACCTACTCGCTCAACCACCTACTCGCTCAACCACCTACTCGCTCAACTACCTACTAGCTCAACTACCTACTCGCTCAACTACCTACTCGCTCAACTACCTACTCGCTCAACTACCTACTCGCTCAACTACCTACTCGCTCAACTACCTACTTGCTCAACTACCTACTCGCTCAACTACCTACTCGCTCAACTACCTACTCGCTCAACTACCTACTCGCTCAACCACCTACTCGCTCAACCACCTACTCGCTCAACCACCTACTCGCTCAACCACCTACTCGCTCAACCACCTACTTGCTCAACCACCTACTCGCTCAACCACCTACTCGCTCAACCACCTACTCGCTCAACCACCAACTCGCTCAACCACCTACTCGCTCAACCACCTACTCGCTCAACCACCTACTCGCTCAACCACCTACTCGCTCAACCACCTACTCGCTCAACCACCTACTCGCTCAACTACCTACTCGCTCAGCTACCTACTTGCTCAACTACCTACTCGCTCAACTACCTACACGCTCAACTACCTACTCGCTCAACTACCTACTCGCTCAACTACCTACTCGCTCAACTACCTACTCGCTCAACTACCTACTCGCTCAACTACCTACTCGCTCAACTACCTACTCGCTCAACTACCTACTAGCTCAACTACCTACTCGCTCAACTACCTACTCGCTCAACTACCTACTCGCTCAACTACCTACTTGCTCAACTACCTACTCGCTCAACTACCTACTCGCTCAACTACCTACTCGCTCAACTACCTACTCCCTCAACCACCTACTCGCTCAACCACCTACTCGCTCAACCACCTACTCGCTCAACCACCTACTCGCTCAACCACCTACTTGCTCAACCACCTACTCGCTCAACCACCTACTCGCTCAACCACCTACTCGCTCAACCACCTACTCGCTCAACCACCTACTCGCTCAACCACCTACTCGCTCAACCACCTACTCGCTCAACCACCTACTCGCTCAACCACCTACTCGCTCAACCACCTACTCGCTCAACTACCTACTCGCTCAGCTACCTACTTGCTCAACTACCTACTCGCTCAACTACCTACACGCTCAACTACCTACTCGCTCAACTACCTACTCGCTCAACTACCTACTCGCTCAACTACCTACTCGCTCAACTACCTACTCGCTCAACTACCTACTCGCTCAACTACCTACTCGCTCAACTACCTACTAGCTCAACTACCTACTCGCTCAACTACCTACTCGCTCAACTACCTACTCGCTCAACTACCTACTCGCTCAACCACCTACTCGCTCAACCACCTACTCGCTCAACCACCTACTCGCTCAATCACCTACTCGCTCAACCACCTACTCGCTCAACCACCTACTCGCTCAACCACCTACTCGCTCAACCACCTACTCGCTCAACCACCTACTCGCTCAACCACCTACTCGCTCAACCACCTACTCGCTCAACCACCTACTCGCTCAACTACCTACTCGCTCAACCACCTACTCGCTCAACTACCTACTCGCTCAACTACCTACTCGCTCAACTACCTACTCGCTCAACTACCTACTCGCTCAACTACCTACTCGCTCAACTACCTACTCGCTCAACTACCTACTCGCTCAACTACCTACTCGCTCAACTACCTACTCGCTCAACTACCTACTCGCTCAACCTACCTACTCGCTCAACCACCTACTCGCTCAACCACCTACTCGCTCAACCACCTACTCGCTCAACCACCTACTCGCTCAACCACCTACTCGCTCAACCACCTACTCGCTCAACCACCTACTCGCTCAACCACCTACTCGCTCAACCACCTACTCGCTCAACCACCTACTCGCTCAACCACCTACTCGCTCAACCACCTACTCGCTCAACCACCTACTCGCTCAACTACCTACTCGCTCAACTACCTACTCGCTCAACTACCTACTCGCTCAACTTCCTACTCGCTCAACTACCTACTCGCTCAACTACCTACTCGCTCAACTACCTACTCGCTCAACTACCTACTCGCTCAACTACCTACTCGCTCAACCACCTACTCGCTCAACCACCTACTCGCTCAACCACCTACTCGCTCAACTACCTACTAGCTCAACTACCTACTCGCTCAACTACCTACTCGCTCAACTACCTACTCGCTCAACTACCTACTCGCTCAACCACCTACTCGCTCAACCACCTACTCGCTCAACCACCTACTCGCTCAACCACCTACTCGCTCAACCACCTACTCGCTCAACCACCTACTCGCTCAACCACCTACTCGCTCAACCACCTACTCGCTCAACCACCTACTCACTCAACCACCTACTCGCTCAACCACCTACTCGCTCAACCACCTACTCGCTCAACTACCTACTCGCTCAACCTACCTACTCGCTCAACTACCTACTCGCTCAACTACCTACTCGCTCAACTACCTACTCGCTCAACTACCTACTCGCTCAACTACCTACTCGCTCAACTACCTACTCGCTCAACTACCTACTCGCTCAACCACCTACTCGCTCAACCACCTACTCGCTCAACCACCTACTCGCTCAACCACCTACTCGCTCAACCACCTACTCGCTCAACCACCTACTCGCTCAACCACCTACTCGCTCAACCACCTACTCGCTCAACCACCTACTCGCTCAACCACCTACTCGCTCAACCACCTACTCGCTCAACCACCTACTCGCTCAACCACCTACTCGCTCAACCACCTACTCGCTCAACCACCTACTCGCTCAACCACCTACTCGCTCAACTACCTACTCGCTCAACTACCTACTCGCTCAACTACCTACACGCTCAACTACCTACACGCTCAACTACCTACTCGCTCAACTACCTACTCGCTCAACTACCTACTCACTCAACTACCTACTCGCTCAACTACCTACACGCTCAACTACCTACTCGCTCAACCACCTACTCGCTCAACTACCTACTCGCTCAACTACCTACTCGCTCAACTACCTACTCGCTCAACTACCTACTCGCTCAACTACCTACTCGCTCAACTACCTACTCGCTCAACTACCTACTCGCTCAACTACCTACTCGCTCAACTACCTACTCGCTCAACTACCTACTCGCTCAACTACCTACTCGCTCAACTACCTACTCGCTCAACTACCTACTCGCTCAACCACCTACTCGCTCAACTATTTAGTTGGAGCTCAACCACCTCACCTACTTGTGAGTGGCCTCTTCGTGTCGTGCCGTGCATGCACAGCCACAACCACAAGAGTAATTCCCTGCTGTCCTCATTGATTCTTTTGTCTTCTCTTCTTCTGTTAGTTGCTGCTCCATGTGATCCTGTCGTGCTTTTCACAACCAAACACTACTGCAGGCAATGATAATTGCATTCATTCCACATGACACACATGCATGAATGTGCACCATTGCTACGGATTCTTGTTCCACTCTTGATTGTTGCCCAAGGTTCTATTGTATGGTTGACATTTTAAAACTAAAGTTACAACTTGTGTCTCTGTACGTTGTATATCCTAGTTCAAGGATGAGCACCTGGACGAATTCGGTCTGGACCAACCGGGCCAGTTTGTTCTTGTCCTAGGCTGGGTCTCAAATTTCCCAGTGTTCGCCCAGTGTGGGCCGGACCGGGCTCGGCCCGAAAAACAGGAAAGTTTCGCTTTTGGGGATGATGAGGGAATACCGAACTGGCCTGACGCATGCCATCTCTGGACCGGTTGGAACCCTCTCGACATTTTCGTGAGTGTCACAGCGAAGAAGTACCGTCAGCTGCTTAAGCCTTTTTTTGAGTTCCAGCACTTAGTTTCCTCTCCAATGTTACGTATCTCACACCTTTTATGATAATCCAAATTGTTGAAACGACCCGACCAGATTCAACCTGGCCCCGACCACGTTCAACCTGGGCGGAACCAGGTTCAGCCCGAGTTGGTGTAGTAGTAGCCTGTGTTAGCTTGTAGGTACACATTCTTCTTCTGCTGTTGACTGTTTCCCAAGATTTGTGAACCGTTCGCTCACTTAACATGCAAATATATTTTGTCTTGAATCGTGTCCCTGTCACCAATGTGCAGATCGTTTGCCTGGAACGAGATCCGAGGCTCCATTCCATCATCTTTCACCGCCCTCACTGCAATGTGCCCGCTGTAAATAGCTATTATGAAACATATCTCACACATTCTCTTGACTGACCTGGGCATGTTTGCATCTGATGTTTTGGGAACACACGCTTCCACACATACCACTCCGCGCAAACCCATTTCCATAACACGCACTTGAGGACCTTTGAAAGAAATAATCCATGAACGTAAAAGTTTGATTGTGTTGGTTCTTGCACAGCAGTGCTTTGATCATTGGTCGAAGGAAAAAAACGTTTGCTATACCGCTGACTTGACACAACTGTGTTCCCTTTGTAGACACCGTAACCCTTGGTGGATCAACCAGCTGTATGTCTTGTGGTTGTGATCCGTCCGCACGTGCCTCAGGAGCTTGACGACAAACAAGATGGATGGCACGATTCCACCAGTTTTCTCCACCACTATCAGCAGCCTGTGCGTGCCCCCGCAGCTCTCTTGCACCCAACCTGTAAGCCACAACCACATACATACATACATACATTCATACCACTTGCCTCTCGGTTATTGGCATGTCGGCAACTCCATCCATCCAACACTCCAACGCCCTCCTCCTACCTTTCCAGCTTAACCAACTCTCTTGCCTTCCATTGCAGTGACCTTTCGGGAAATCAATTCTCCGGCCGCATTCCGGAGTTTCTTGGCTCTCTCTCCAGCCTCGTAACCCTGTGTGTGCACAAGGCAAGACGAGAATGGTTGTGTTGGAAGGTTGTACAGCTTCAGCCAAACAATTTATCTCGGAAATGAGTGTTCAACTGTTAAGTGTTCTGGGGGAACAGGTGCTCAGTGAGGAATAACCTGGGGCAGATTGGTAATAGTATGGGGAGAAACTGGGCCTGTGATGATAACTGCAACATGCACACAGACAGGTGAACAGTACAGTGTCCTCCCCTTCAAATGAGTCTGTGTTTGACGCGGCTTCTAGTGAACACAACATGTTCGGGTCAAACATTTCTGGGGAAAAGGGATTCCCTATTTTGTTCGACTCGAAAATGTTTGAGTCAAACCGAACAGTGGTCCTCCTTTGTTTTCATGTCTACCTCCACTCCATGCATCCCGTCGGGATTTCTGTTTGAATTTCCCAAGCACTCATTGCTTCATTGTATCGTGCTTTCAGGGAACTCACTGCCAACAACTTTACCGGGGCCATTCCGCGGTCTTTCACAAACCTCATATATGTTTCTTCGCTGTGCGTATCAAATTTGCCATCATGTCAGGTAGAGCGTTCGCAAGGATGCAGTGGCCAAGCACGAAAGGATAAAGGTTTTGAAACGATGGTGTCTTTGTTGCACGCAAGTACTGCACACAGCACACATTGGTGCAAGCTCACTCAAATGCGCTCCCAATAGTGGAACCGGGTGTGGAGGGAAAGGCAGGCTCACTGGACCGGTGAGAAGCAGGAAGAGATATGGGATGGGATGTGACTTGAGCCATGGGATGTGAGGTAAGCTTTGAGATGTGAGAAGAGCGTTGGGATGTGAGGAGAGCGTTGGGATGTGAGAAGAGCGTTGGGATGTGAGGAGAGCGTTGGGATGTGAGGAGAGCGTTGGGATGTGAGGAGAGCGTTGGGATGTGAGGAGAGCGTTGGGATGTGAGGGGAGCGTTGGGATGTGAGGGGAGCGTTGGGATGTGAGGAGAGCGTTGGGATGTGAGGAGAGCGTTGGGATGTGAGGAGAGCGTTGGGATGTGAGGGGAGCGTTGGGATGTGAGAAGAGCGTTGGGATGTGAGGAGAGCGTTGGGATGTGAGGAGAGCGTTGGGATGTGAGAAGAGCGTTGGGATGTGAGGAGAGCGTTGGGATGTGAGGAGAGCGTTGGGATGTGAGGAGAGCGTTGGGATGTGAGGAGAGCGTTGGGATGTGAGAAGAGCGTTGGGATGTGAGGAGAGCGTTGGGATGTGAGGAGAGCGTTGGGATGTGAGGAGAGCGTTGGGATGTGAGGAGAGCGTTGGGATGCGAGGGCTGTCACCGAACATGTACTTCGTGCATATGCGGGTAACAGTTTCTACACGGGTGTTGACGCAAGTGTAGGTTCAGGTGTCGTGATTGCATGATTACAATTTAAGGGTACGTTGTTAGGGAATCAGGGGGGTTGACGCGAGGAAGGATTAGAGGAAACATCCCACATTGAGAGGTGTGCGACTTGAGCCAGGCACAGGTAAAATCAGTATCCTACACCGTCTCGTTGCTCTTCTCCTGTTATTCTCTCGTTGCAGTGGAAGTTGTCACTCTAGGTCTTGCATCATGTGGCATGTCACTAGAAGGGAACCTGCGGGAGTGGGAAGAAACTCTTTCATGGTAGTGACTGAGGCTAATCAACAACGTGCAAGGAAGGAAGGCAAGGGAGTGACAAGAAGAAGTGCAGGTGGCAAGAATGAGGTTCTCCGATAGGACGTAGGGTAGCGAGGGAGCGATGGGCACGGTGGCAAATGACCGGACCGATTTTTCCTGCTCGTTAATACACTACATGTATGTGCAACTCCTGATGTGTTTCAGGGACCTTGGTATCAACCAGCTGTCGTCGGGCCTTGATGTGATCAGCGAGATGACCTGGCTTACAATGATGTATGCATCCCATAGGATCCTGGCTTGGGGTGTCATGAGTTTGATCTTGTTGTGGGTTCAGCCAGTAGTGTTGCTTTGTTGCACACATGATTTTTGAACTTTGATTCTCCCTGCTGTTTTTGCAGATTCCTAGGCTCAAACCGATTTGCAGATGCATTTCCCAACCACCTGTCCTGGCCTTCAGTCAGCGTGTTGTAAGGTGACCCTCCCACCAAAACTCTTGGTCAATTGCAAACAACTGAGAAAAAACCCACATTTAGGGAACTTCAATTTTTTTATTACGGAAGCCTTACACTTGGGCTCAGACTGTGTCTGTGTAGGCCTCCACATTCACCAAGAATGTCGGCAACGAGATGAGACTAGGATGGAGATACTAACACTCTCATCATTTGCTGATCCTGTTCTACTCTCAAGTGGACATAGATGCGTCCAGCATCCAATATGCTAGCGTGTTTATGCTGGACACTCAGATGTCCAGCTCCGAACACTGGATATACGCTTCGGTCGGGCAGGCAAAGAAATCACTTGGGCAGGGTAACAAAATGAGAGAGAGGGGGGAAGCGGGAGAAGGGAGGCTGGGTACCACGCTGTCCAAAGAATTTGTCCACATTTAACATTCATCATCTCATGCAATTACCTTGTGCGTACTCTCCCACCCATCCTACCATGCTGGATATACGCTTGGGTCGTGCGTACTGCAGCTAGGAAACTTAAATCGTCGACTAACTCTGGCTGCAAAATCTGCCAGATGTGGTCGGCATTTGCTTGCGGTTGTGTGGGTTGGCTTTGCTAGAAAGAATGGAGGTCGGCAGAATCGAACCAGATCCCCATCAAACTTACAGTCCGGATGAATTCGTGGATCGCTAATTCGTCGGGATTTTTTATTTTATTCCGAGGTGCCCGCAATCTAATTTGCCGAACATCCAGGCTACGGACGCGGTGGACGCTCCCTATCCAGGGCGTACGTGTCCACTTCGTGATGACTACTATTGAGATCTAGAAACTCTATACACGCCCTTTAAGTCACTCTTAGTAGTCCCCACGGGGTCACCTTCAAGGGTCCTCGGGTGCCTGGAGCCCCTAACCAAGGGTCCGTGTTTTGTAGAGGGACGCACTAAGTGTAAAGACAACGACGTGCACTAGAGCACTCCCAAGACTCCTTGCGCAACATTGAAGACGAATTGGCTTGTGTGCAGAAATTTCTCATCACGTCAATACGATGGTAGAGAAAAACTTCACTCAAAAAGATTGAACACAAGCACGCATTTATATTTCGCCTAGCACACACGCATAAGAAAGCACAAAGCAGTTGTAACTTCAGGACTTCGCCAGATGCGCCAAGGAAAACGGTTGTCGAACTGCTTCGGAATTTGGCTTGGTTCTCCCCTGTAGAATAACTGTCTTCAAATTTCATGTCTGCCAAATTCTCCTGCTGACTTCCCTCGTGAATGTTCGCGACTTCTCGTGCGCAATCATAAACGCTCGTGTGAGATTACCGTTTTCACGAAGTCTCACAGTTGAAAAACTGTTACGATAAAATCACTTAGTTCCTACTACTGATAGTTCTACAACAGCTGAAAAGCTCTTCTCGGGGTCACCTCCGAGGGTCCTTGGGTTCCTGACCGAAGTCAGCCCCTATCCAAGGGTCCGAGTTTGTTGAAAGAGAATTCCAGTGATGTAGAACTGCAGCAGCTGAAGCCCTATGTCGCAACGTAGTCAAAGAATCCTTGATAGCAGCGTGGGAGAGTGCTTGATAGGCAGAGTATATTTATTAATGTGCAAGACATACATTTATATATTCTCTAGGCTGTTTCTACTGCTATCTATCTTACATCTCCAAGCACTTCCTATCACTAGCGAGGCGCGAGCGATTTTCGCATTTCCCTCGTTTTATTTTGTGACTCAGCTAGGTTGCGATTCGTCGGTGAATATTTTGAATGTTCGCGCGGAAGTTATTAACGGCATCGATCCGTTGTGTTTTTCGCGCCGTTCTGATAACGGTTCCGATCGATCCGTTCATTTGACTTAGCTCGCTGTTTTGAACATGCGTGCTGATCTTGGCCAATCCTCTTGCTCGACTCTTGATTGCGTGAGAAGTTTCGTCGCGTGCTTTTGATCACTCGAGTCGTGAGCAGCTTCTTGAGCTGAGGCGTTTCCGGAGCAGCTCGAAATGTGAGTGCCCGCGCCCCCTTATTTATCCGCGTCGACTGTTCAGAACACGTTCAAAACATGTTCAAAAATGGCGAACGCGAGCAGGATCCAATCGGCACCGTCGATCTTGTCGTTTGAGCAGCAGCGAGCTCGAAAACACGAACAGAAGTTTCGAGCTGTGAAAACAGTGAGTCAAACTGAGTTTGAACTGCACAGTCACTTCTTATTGGCCAAATTACCTAACCCTTTGATCGCTCGATAATAACCGTCTCGCCCCAGCACTGCAGAAATGATTGTTGCACTCTCCAGGATAAAAATGTTAGGGTGGTTCGCCACTGCCCTAGTGCCTACCGACCTACGCACTTCACCTAGGGATGGTAGCACGACACTATGAACGGTGGGAAATGTCGACCTAATGCGGAGAACCGACAGCTATAACGGTGGGGCTGCATGCTAAGGAGCTAAGGAGGGAAGGCAAGAAGAAAGCAGGAAAAACGGAATGGTGGGAGAGTGGGTTTCAGGAAATGTCGAGAAGACATTTCCGTAACCTAAAATGTGCAACCGCAACCGAACCGTGTTTGGTGCGAATGAGACAACCAGGTTTCGGTTCCGGTGTCGGTTACCGAAATCGGTTCCGCATGCGACTCGGGCTGAAACGCGGATGACGCGTTACACGAGGTTAGGCATGATCATTAGGCCCGACACGACACGACCCGACCCGACTTGGGCGGGCCAGCCGGGTTCCGGGTCAGGTCGGGTCGGCACTTCTAGGAATCCTGGCCCGACCCGGGTATCGGGTGCCGGGTCAGGCTTGACCCGCCCCCGGGTCGGGTCGGGTAGGGGCCGGGTCGGGTCGGGTCGTGTCAGAACATTACAACTTATGCTTTTGTGTAGGCTGTAGTGGGGTATCCCATAGGGGGTACAACCCAATTAGGGTTAGTACTTGTACCCACTTCATTCATACTTCATTCATCCTCGTTTCTGTTTTCTCATGGTATCGAGCAGGTTCCCTCGTGGGAACTGTTCCTAGAGCCCTACTACTACTTCCGCTGCTACTCGATCTGTCGCCCGCCCCGTGGCGTGCGAACGGCGCGCGACGATTTTCTTTCTGGCGCGCGCCCCGAGGCGCACGGCCCCGCTACCCCCGTCGCGCCGCCCTAGCGGCCGCGTCGCGCCGCCCTAGCGGCCACGTCGCGCCTCCGTCGCGGCCCCGATCTGCCGCCCTAGTGGCCTCGTCACCTACCTCTGCGGCCTCAGCGCCGCCCTTCCCGGCCCCGGCTCCGCCCTTCCCGGCCCCGGCGCCACCTCGGCTGGCCCCGTCGCCTACCCCGGCGACCCCAACGCAGTCTTCCCGACCCGGCCCCCGCCTCTACTGGCATCGTCGCCTACCCCTGCGGCCCCGGCACTGCCCTTCCCGGCCCCGGCGCCACCTCTGCTGGCCCGGGCGCCACCTCTGCTGGCCCCGGCGCCGCCTCTGCTGGCCCAGACGCCTCCCCTGCGGCCCCGGCGCCACCTCTGCTGGCCCGGTCGCCGCTCCACCCGGCTCCGCCGCCGTCCCCAAGCGGCCCCGCCGTCACCACCGAGTCGCCAGCGCCGCCGAGCTAGTGCCGAGCCACCCGAGCCACCCGAGCCGCCCGAGCCATAGCGCCACCTCAGCCGCCCGAGCCGCCGAGTCGCTGAGCCGCCGCGCTGCAGTTGCTGCCGAGCCGCCGCACCGCTGAGTCGCCCGAGTCGTCCGAGCCGCCGAGCCGCAGTTGTTGCAGTGCCGCCGAGCCGCCCGAGCCGCCCGCACCGCCGAGTCGCCGAGTCGCCGAGCCGTCGAGCCTGCTCTTCCCACCACTGGTGAGCCCCTGCCTTACTAGCGCGCTGCCTACGGCTTGCTTGGCTGCCTGCCTTACTGCTGCTACTCCTGCTCCTGCTTCTACTGGCGGAGCCATATGCAGCCCCAGCGACGTCCGCGTGAGTCCCTCACGCCCCAGCAGTTGCATGAGTGGTACGCTGGTCGGTGATGTAGGGGTGGCGGCGCTACTACTGCTACTACTACTGGCGGCGGCCAGATGCAGCTCCAGCGACCCCCACGCGCGTCTCTCACGCCCCAGCAGCTTCGTGAGTGGTACGCTCAGAGTGGAGGGTCTCTCAGTTCTGTTCGCTGCTCTTACGTGATTCGCACTGGTGCTCGGACTGGTCAGCCTTGTGGAACGCGTAGCCACACACAGTCTCGCTGCTTCGCCCGTCTGAGCGACGCCTGGCGTACCGAGCT